AGCTTTTTAAAACTGTGGTATCTGCAGCTGGAGATTCTCTTTCATTAGCTCTGTGATGTAGGATGAGAATCATAGGAATCGCAGGGAGCCTGGGAATTTGGATTTTTAGTTTTTAATTTTGGTTGTTATTAGGTTTTCATGTTATTTTGATGCTGCAGTCAAATTTGAAGCAGTATTCACTGCTTTAAACCTTAGAGTAATGGCAGTTATTTCCTCTGCTGATGAGACAAAATAAACAGGTTTGGTGTGTTTTTCTAATTCTTTTTGGACAGGGTCTTGCTTTGTTGCCCAGGCTGGAGTGCAGTGGTAAGATCATGGCCCACCTCAACCTTAACCTCCTGGGCTCAAGTAATCCTCCCAAGTAGCTGGGACTACAGGTGTGCACCTCATGCCCAGCTAATTTTTTAATTCAAAATGAAGAGGTTTTAATAAAGTCTTCAGAGATTATGAGGGTATCAGTGCCTTGAGTTTACAGTTTTAGAAAATAAAAAACAATCTCTATACAAATCTTACAGTAGATTTAACACTTACGGATTTGAACAATTCATGAGCAGCCCGAAGGTGATTTTGAAATGGCAGGAATTTGAATTACTTTGATGGAGACTTTGCTGTGTGAGAGTGAATTATGTAGCTATTGAGCAGAGTATACTACTCAGCATAATGAGTCTTTGTTGTTCTCTACTTGTCACAATAACTTCTTCTTAGGATCTTAAGTGGACATATATCTCTCAGTTACCTTTTACGCATTATTCTATGGGGAAAATGGATTTTGTGTAATTATTCTTGTCTTTGAACATCTCCAAGGTCCCAGAAATGTCAAAATCTACTATTTTTTCTTTCCCAAATGAAGGTAAATGTGGCAAACTATGATGTAATTTGTTTTCTCCTTCCCTATCTAACTTGTTTCTGCTCACCCTTTCTTAATGTGAACACTTCTTTAGATGCTAATTTATTCTCAAACTCTGTTCCTCTATCAGAACAAAAATACATTAATGACATTAAATCATTTCTGTGATTGCTTATACTTAAGAATGAATGAATTTATGCAAACTGATGGTCTTAGTTAACATTTGACATATATATATAATGTATTTTTATATACATGTGTATATATATATTTTTCCTATTTCTGAAACAAAATGCTTTCTCTTTTCAAAGGCATTTCAGACCTGAACAATCAGTTGGACAACTTCTTTGTGGCTTTGGGTATTCTGAAATTACTCTTAAGTCTACTTCAGTGATTGGATCCAAATCAGAATCTTAGAATTGGATGCCTGTGCCCAGAAATTTCTAAAGATGGAGGAATCTCTAATTTTTTTTCAGCTTCTTAGGTTCACTCTGCTCAATCTTTTTAGCTGGTTTTAACATCAGTCCTACCTCTATCTTTCCTGTGTGTCTCTATTCCCAGATGCCTATTTTATAGTATCCAAAAATTTTTTTCATTTAAATTGAGAGGCAGTATGGTGTAGTGTTGGATGTTAGACCCAAACAGCTTCATTTTGAATTATGGCCGGGCCTCTAATAAGCTGCATGACTTTGAATAGTTCCTTCATCTCTCTGCGCCTCAATTTCTTTATCTGAAAAATGAAATACCTAAGGGGCCGGGCGCAGTGGCTCATGCCTGTAATCCCAGCACTTTGGGAGGCCAAGGCGGGCGGATCACAAGGTCAGGAGATCAAGACCATCCTGGCTAACATGGTGAAATCCTGTCTCTACTAAAAATACAAAAAATTAGCCAGGCGAGGTGGCGCACGCCTGTAGTCCCAGCTACTCGGGAGGCTGAGGCAGGAGAATGGCGTGAACCCAGGAGGGGGAGCTGGCAGTGAGCCGAGATTGTGCCACTGCACTCCAGCCTGAGCCACAGAGTGAGACTTCGTCTCAAAAAAAATTTTTTTTTTAAAAAAGAGATGTCTAAGTTCTCATAGGGTTATTCTAAGGATTAAACGAGTTAATATATGTAAAGTAATGAAGAATCTCTTAAAAGATTTCTGTGAAGGATCCTCCGATACTTCTTTTGCTATATGACACAGTCACAATTTTTATGGTGCTTTTCACTTTTTCCCTAGCTTTTCTATTATTTGAAAGAATATATAGGTTCCCCTTTAAAGAAATAGGTTCTCTACATTAATGACTCAGTTTTTTTTTTAATGTAAATGTGATAGGGAATTTAAAAAGTAACAGATTCTGAATTTTTTGATGCCCAAGCTTCCCAAATTTTTTCACGGCACACATGTTACATGGTAAGTTATACAACATATAGTAGTAAATGACTGGATAACTAGGGCTGCCCAAGGCTGGCAATGGCTATTGGTCACCAAGAGCTTAGAGCAGTCACTTGGAGGACTTGTTAAAATACAGATTGCTAAACAACACTTCCTAAGTTTCTGATTCTAATAAAGTTTGTATTTAACCAAATCAGTTTGAAGATGATGCCATTGATGCTGGTCTGAGGAATCACAGTTTAGTAGTTACTTCTTTAATGTTCTGTATCCTGGTGTGGTAGGTAGAATAATGGCCCTCCAAAGATGTCTGCATCCTAATCCCCAGAACCTTTGAACATGTTACCTTACATGGCAAAGGGACTTCACAGATGTGATTAAGTTAAGGACTTTGAGATCATTGTGAATTATCTAGTTGGGCTCAGTGTAATCACCAGGGTCCTTAAAAGAGTAAAAAGGTGGCAAGAGAGAGAGAAAAACAGACAGACAGACAGACAGAGGAAGAAGTGACCATGGAATAATGGCCAGGGAGATTAAAGACTTTGAGATTGAACAAAGGGGCTATGAGTAAAGGAATGTTAGTGCTTCTAGAAGTTGGGAAAGGTAAGGAAATGGATTCTCCCCTAAACCCTTTAGAAAGAAATAGTCTTGATTTTTTAGCCCAGTGGTACCCATGTTAGACTTCTGACCTATCAACTGTAAGATTATAAATTTGTGTTGTTTTAAGCCACTAAGTTTATGGTAATTTGTTGGCACCAATAGAATACTAGTACATCTGTAACCAGTTCTGTTTACCAGTTCGCTTTGTGCTAAAAGTTCCCAGTCTTAGCTCATGACATCAGCTCATAACAAAGAGTAAATAAAAACACAAAAGGCAAGAGCTCCCTTATTTTTCTACCATCAAACTGTCAAAACTACCAGTATGTTAACCCATGTTTTTCTTCCCTTTTATTACATTGGAGGAAGTACCCAAACTTCTATCAAAACCTGATCTGTTGGCCTTTGTTTGATCTCATTCTCTATTGCCCTGTTTTTTTTTAAATTGAAGTTATATATATGTATATGTGTGTGTGTGTATATATATGTATGTATAATTTAGCATCTAAATATATATATTTTAATTTAGCATGTTTAAGATGGAGAGCACCCCTTCAATGATTAGGAGAGACACAAGATGGAAATAATGGTTTTATTACTCATAGGTCCAGGGTACGTGATATACCTGGAGGCCATACGCGGAGGTCAGGGAGCACTTCAGAGGGAAGGAGACGGAGAGAGATCCATGGGTTAATGCCTTCATTGAGGTCTAAGGCCTTATCCAAACAGGTTTCTCACTGGGCGATTTTTCTTTAACACTTAATAATTGTATACATTTATGGTACAGTATGATTTTGATACATATGTACAATGTATAATGATCAAATCAGAGTAATTAACATATCTGTCACCTCAAATATTTATCATTTCTCTGTTGGGAATGTTAAAAATCTTATAGCTCTTCGAAAATATGCCCTAAATTATTGTTAACTGTAGTCACCTTCCAGTGCAATAGAACAGTAGAATTTATTTCTCCTATGTAGCTGTAATTTTGCATCTGCTAGCCAATCCCTTCCTATCGTGTCTCACACTTTTCAGCCTCTAGTAATCACTATTCTATCTCCTTCTGTGAAATCAACTTTTTTAGCTTTCATGTATGAGTGAGAACATATGATATTTGTCTTTCTATGCCTGGCTTATTTCAGTAACAGAATTATCCTCCAGGCTCATACATTTTACCTTGTTTGACAGGATTTCATTGGTTTTTGTGGCTGAATAGTATTCCATTGTGTATATATACCACATTTTCTTTATTCATTAATCTGTTGGACATGTAAGTTGATTCCAAATCTTGACTGTTGTGAATAGTGCTGCAATAAACATAGGAGTGCAGACATCTCTTCAACATACTGATTTCCTTTCTCTTGGATATACACCCAGTAGTGGAATTGCTGGGTCGTATGGTAGTTCTATTTTTTAGTGTTCTTTTTTATATATGTTTTATGTCCTGTAAAACATTTTTGTTAGTCTTAAACAGCATCAGTATCTTTATCCAAATATGTATGTACTCTTCAGTTCTCTTCCTTCCTTCTTGGATTTGCCTAATTCTTTTGTTTGTTTGTTTTGTTTTGAGACGGAGTTTCGCTCTTTTTGCCCAGGCTGGAGTGCAATGGCATTATCTCGACTCACTGTGACCTCCACCTCAAGCGATTCTCCTGCCTCAGCCTCCCGAGTAGCTGGGATTACAGGCATGTGCCGCCACACCTGTCTAATTTTGTATTTTTAGTAGAGATGGGGTTTAGTTGCTCCATGTTGGTCAGGCTGGTCTCCAACTCCTGACATCAGGTGATCCCCCCTCCTCGGCCTCCCAAAGAGTTGGATTACAGGCATGAGCCACCGCACCCGGCCCATTTGCCAAATTCTATCTGACAACATTTTGTTTTTGGTTGAATTATTCCTGTTAGTATATATATTATTACAGTTGTGCTGGCAAAAATATTCGCAAAACTTGTTTTCTGAAAGTGTTTTTATTTTTTTCTTTAGCTTTTGAGGTATATTTTCATCAGGCATAGAATTATAGTTTGGTGATTTTCATACTTTAAAAATGCCATTTTATTTTATTCTCGTTTTAATTATTTCTTATGTAAAGGTAGCCATTCCATTTTGTTGAAGAGACAAAATTGTTTCTTTGAAAATAAGGTAAATTTCTGGCCAATTTTAAACTTTTCTCATTGTCTTTTTCAGCATCTTGACTATACTGTGCCTGGATGTATCTGTGTGTTTTGTGTTTATCCTGTTCATGGTTTGTAGAATTTCTTGAGTTTGTCATCAATTTGGAAAGTTACCTACCAGTATTTCTTCAAAATATTGCTTCTGTCCTATTCTTGGTCCCTCTCCTTTAGGTCTCTGATTATATTAATACTGTTTCTCCTGGATCGTGTACCTGCTTTCCTCTGTGTCCTTCAGTCTTATTACTTTCTCCCAACTTGCCCAGTTCACTTGTCTTCTGTTAGGCTGAGCCTAGTAGGCAGAATCTGCCGGTAGATTCATGTAATGCATTAATTTTAGTTATTGTATTTTATTTTGTAGTATTATGTTGTGTATAATTTCCACTTGATTTTTAATAGATTTTTGGTCACTGCTGACTTTTATCTTTCCTTCTGTTTTTTTTGAATGTTAATCATGGTTATTTTAAAGTGTTCATATGTTAAGTTCAATACCTGAATCATCTGTTGCTCTCTTTCTGTTTTGTAATTTTTTTTCTCTTGGCTTTCAGTCATTTGATTCTATTTTATAACGTGCTTTGATTGAATGCAATCTGTTGGTACTATTTTATAGAATGCTTATAATCTTTGATTGAATTAAACTAAAAATTATAGTAGCCCAATTTTTTAAATGGGCAAAGTGTTTGAGTAGACATTTTTCAAAAGAATAGTGATCAATACAATAAACACATGAAAGAGGTGCTTATGAATATTTTGTTATTAAGGAAATGCAAATTAAAGCCACAGTGAGATTCATACTCACTGGGATGGCTACAATCAAAACATGGATGGTAACAAATGTTGGCAAGGATGTGGAGAAATTGGAAACCTTATGCATTACTAGTAAAAATGTACAGTGGTGCAATTGCTTTGGAAAACAGTTTGGTCGTTCTTCAGAAAGTTAAATGCAGCATTGTCTTTAATGGCATTTTCATTAGAGAAATCTTTTCTGATTCATCCTAAAGAAAGTATGCCTCACCCATTGTTCTGTATCACTTTACTATATTTTTCTTTACAGAAATTTACTTAATGTATTTATGTATTTATTTGTTTACTTTGTGTATATATGATATCTGCCCCACTATACTATAAGCTGTATGAGAGAAGGCATCGTGTTCACTACTGTATTCCCAGGGCTGAACACAGTTATCTGGTACATAGTAGTAGCTTAATAAGTATTTGTTGAATGAATGAAGTCACACTTTTTCCCCCAAGTGTTTGTTTTTTAGAAGTTTTATTCTACCAACAAAGCTGAGAAAAATAGTGCAGTGCACATTTGTATACACTTCACTTGGATTTAACAATGAACATTTGCCACATTAGCTTTCTATCTTCCTCCATATGTAATATATCCGTGTGTGTGTATATATGTGTATGTATCAATTTGTCTTCATCTCTATACATGATTTTTAGCAGTAGAAGTGAACCATATGAAAGGAAGTTGCAGTCATAGCATTTTTCTCAAAATAATTCCTTGTTTATCTCCTATGAACAAGGTCATTCTACTACATAGCATGATATTGTTAAGAAGTTTAACACTGAAACAGTGATATATTTTTATGTACAATATTCAGATTTACCCAGTTGTCCCCATGTCTTTCATAGCTTTCTTTTTCCTTTTGCTCCAGGATCCAATTCGAGATTTCATATTGTATTTGGTTGTTGTGTCCTTCTATTTTCTTGTAATTGAAAATAGTACTCTTAGTATTATTTTTCCTTTCATTAAATTTATACTTTTTAAGTGTTCAAGCTGGTTGTCTTGTTGAATGTCTGCAATATGGATATGTCTTGATTGTTCATGATCATATTTAGGTTACACATTTTCGGCAAGAATGGTACACAGATGATGATGTACTTGTCATTCCATTGGTAAGAGGCTACATGATATCAGTATGCTGCTAAATTTGGTCATTTAGTTAAGATAGTGTTTACCAGATCTTCCCATTGTAAAGATACCTTGTTCCCTTTGTAAAAAAAAAAAAAAATCTACTTTGATACTTTTCAAATATCCTGTTGACCAACAATGTTTCACTCAGTGTATTTTAGCATGCATCAATGGCCCTTGTCTGAATCAGTTATTATACTGGTGATAATTTTATCATTCCTTCTACATTTATTAGCTGTCATGTTTTGATAAAGAACTTTCCCTGTCCCCAACACATGCATCTTTTTAAAAATTTCATTTTTAATTTAATGTATTATCAATTACTGTTACTATTTTTAGGCTTATATTGTCCCAAATTTAATGTATTATCAATTACTGTTAACTATTTTTAGGCTTATATTGTCCCGAATTTGGCCATTGGATGACCCCTGAGAATGGTTCCTTTGTTTGCATCAGTCTTTGAGCACTGACTGTTCTGCTCTGCTCTAAATATTTCTAAGAATACTTAGAAACCAAAAATGTGGGCACTAAGAGTGCTCATAATTACTACAGTGTCATTGCTTCTTACAATGGCCTTTTCACAGTGGACAGAGCTAGGATGACATTTTTAAATAGGCAAACAGACAAATATATACATGTTTATTTAAGTAAATTTGTTTTGATAACTCAAGTTTATCCTTAAGGTCCCTTTACATATTTGTTGCTTCTTTTTCTCACAATGAAAAACAACTTAAATATTTGCTCACTTTTACTATCTGAAATATATATAAAATACTACAACCAACAACAACTTACTAAGATACGTTCTAGATTACTTTCAGTGTTTTTCCTTTTGTATTTAGTTGGTATGTAATAAATGTATTTATTACTGGGATACAGTGATATTTTGTTACATGTATACATTATATAATGATCAAATTGGGGTAATTAGCATATTTACCTCAAACACATCATTTCTTTATATTGTGAACAGTGAAGATCTTCTTGTAGCTTTTTGAAAATATACAATAAATTATAGTTAACCGTATTCACCCAACAGTGCTGCAGAAGGCAGGAACTCATTCCTCCTGTCTAGCTGTAATTTTGTGTCCATTAACCAACTTCTCATTCTCCCCTCCTACCTCCCTTTCCCAGCCTCTGATACCCATATTTCTACACTATACTTCCATAGGCTCAATTTTTTTTTAAGCTCCTGCAGATGAGTGAAAACGTAAGGTATTTTTCTTCCTGTGCCAGATTTATTTCTCTTAACATAATGTGCCCCAGGGTCATTCATATTGCCTTGAATAACAGGATTTCATTCTCCTTGTGGCTGAATAATATTCCATTGTGTATGTATAGCATGTTTTTCTTTATCCGTTCATCTGATGGATATTTCAGTTGATTCTATGTCTTAGCTATTGTGAATAGTAGCTAAGCTGCAATAAACATGGGGATGTAGGTATCCCTTTGATATACTGATTTCCTTTATTTTGGATTAATACCCAGTAGCAGGATTGCGAGAATTATTTTTTGATTCGCTTTTGAGTTTTTAAAGAAACCTCCACACTGTTTTCCATAATGACTGTACTAATTTACATTCCCACTAACAGGGTATATGAATTTTCTTTTCTCCACATCCTTGCCAGCACTTACTTTGTCTTATTTGATAATAATCTAACTGGGGTAAGATGATACCTGATTATAGTTTTGACTTGCATTTCCCTGAAGATTAGTGATGTTGAGCATATTTTTATATATTTGTTGGCCATTTGTATGTTTTCTTTTGAAAAATATCTATTAAGATCATTTGTCCACTTTTTAATTGGGTTATTTGGTTTTTTGCTGTTGAGTTCCTTGTATATTCTGAATATTAGTCCATATCGGATGCATAGTTTGCAAATATTTTCTCCCATTCGACATGTTGTCTTTTTACTTTATTATTTTCATTGCTGAGCAGAAGCGTTTTAGTTTAAATCCCATTTGTCTATTTTTGTTCTTTCTTGCTTGTTCTTTTGATTTCTTAGCCATAAAATCTTTGACTAGATCAATGTCTTGAAGTGTTTCCCTTATAGTATTATGGTTTGATCTTATTTATAAGTCTGTAATTTATTTTAAGTTGATTTTTATATATGGTTAGAGATATGGGGACTAATTTTGTCCTTCTGCATGTGGATATCCAAATTTTCGAGCACCATTTATTGAAGAGATGTCCTTTCTCCAGTGTATGCTCCTGGCACCTTGTCAAAAATCAGTTGGCTGTAAATACATGGATTTATTTCTGGGTTCTCTGTTCTGTCCCATTGGTCTATGTGTTTTTATAGCAATACCATGCTGTTTTGGTTACTGTAGCTTTGTAGTGTATTTTAAAGTCAGGTAGTGTAATACCATCAGCTTTACTCATTTTGCTCAATATTGCTTTGGTTATTTGGGGTCTTGTGGTTCTGTATGAATTTTAGGATTGTTTTCTAATTCTGTGAAAAATGACTTTGGCATATTGATAGAGATTGCATTGAATCTTTAGATCACATTGGGTAGTATGGTCATTTTAACAATATTAATTCTTATAATCCATGAGTATGGGCTGTCTTTCCATTTTTATTTTTTATGTCCTCTTCAATTCTTTCAGTGTTTTTGTAGTTTTCATTTTAGAGGTCTTTCACCTCCTTGGGTAAATTTATTCCTAGTTATATTTTTAATGTTTTATAGCTATTTTAAGTGGGATTGCTTTATTGATCCCATTGATTTCTTATTCAGCTAGATCATTCCTGGTGAATAAAATGCCACTAATTTTTGTATGTCGACTTTGTATCCTGCAACCTTATTGAATTCATTTATCAGTTCTAAAAGTATTTGTGGTGAAGTCTTTAGATTTTTCTATATATAAGATCATGTCATCCATAACCAGGATAGTTACTTCCTCTTTTTCAATTTGGATGCCCTTTATTTCTTTATTTTGCCTAATTGCTGTGGCTGAGACTTCCATTACTATGTTGAATAAGGGTGATTAAAGTGGGCATCCGTGTCTTGTTCCAGATCTTAGAGGACAGGCTTTCAGCTTTTTCCCCATTAAGTATGATATTAGCTGTGGGTTTGTCATATATTGCCTTTTATTGTTTTGATGTATGTTCCTTCTTTGCCTAATTTCTTGAGAGTTTGTATCATGAAGTGATGTTGAAATTTATCAAATGCTTTTTCTGCGTCTATTGAGATCATTTTATGGTTTTTGTTCTTCATTCTGTTGATGTGTTATATCACGCTGTTTGATTGGCATGTGTTGAACCATCCTTGCATCCCTGGGATAAATCCCACCTGATTGTGGTGTATTATCTCTTTAATGTGTTGTTGGGTTTGGTTTGCTAGTATTTTGTTGAGGATTGTTGCATCTGAGCTCACTGGCATTTTGGCCTGTAGTTTCTCTTTTCCTGTGTCTGGTTTGGGCATTAGGGCAATGCTGACCTGAATGAATTAGGAAGAATTCCCTCAATTTCCAGTTTTTTGGAATAGTTTGAGAAGAATTGGTGTTGGTTCTTTTTTATATGTTTGGAAGAATTCAGAGGTAAAGCCATCTGATGCTGGGCTTTTCTTTGTTGGGAGACCTTTTATTACTGGCTTCATCCTATACCAACTTTGTGATGATAATAAGCCAGTTACTTTACTAGTCTTAGGCTTTTTTTGGTCTTGTCTATAAATTGAGGATGATAATAATATCTATCTTACAGAGGTATTATATGTAAATCTTGACATGTTAAGCAGATGTTACAAACTATTATTGATGTATTTTAATAAATTTAATTTGAGAACAGTATATTGTAGCCTAGGCCTAAGGGTTAGGCTATTAGTTGAGAAATGCATGATACATAGTTGTGACAGTTAAATAGGGAGGACAGATATTAGAAATATTTTAGATGAATAATATTTTAAAATTTTATATAGCTCTTAAAAATCTTTAAATGGTACTTTATGCTGTTGTTTCATAGTATGTCTGTGTTCCTTCTGTTACATCAATAGTTAATAACTCACAAATGAATGTAACTTTATAATTTATAAAGTACTTTGACATATGTTGCTGAATTTGATTCTAAGAATCATTCTATGAGAGATTATTTCTACTAGGCCCCACAGAGATTAAGTAGTTTGTTGAAGATTATACAAGTTAGTAAAAGAACCAGTGTGAAACTTGAATCTCCATATTCCTATTCTAGTGATTTCTCCATTATTTTCTATTACATGGCAAGAAGTAATATATAGCAAGGAACAAATGTGAAAAACTGTTATTAGTCCTTTCAAAGAGTTACTATCTTTTTTAAGCATCTGCCTTAATAGAAGAAATAACCAAGACATGGAAGGGGACAGACTAATTTAGAATCTACTAATTATATAATTCATATATAGACCTAGTGGCATTTGAATATAAACTTTGGTAAATCTAAATATTTAGTGGCTGCAATTTGCCATAATATCATTAGTAGAACTGATAATAAACTCTTGCTTTCCTGCACCAAATTGTATTAGGCACTTAGTACATTTTGGGTGATTGTAAAATATTTTACAATAGAGCTGTTTCTTAAATGTTTTTAAATAGTATTGATCATGAAACTTTTTGAAATTTACCATCAGGCCAATGGTGGCAGAGTCTACATAGAACTATGCTTCGTGGTGTTCTGGGGAAAACCTTTCGACTTGTTGGCTATACTATTCAGTATGGCTGTATAGCTCATTGTGCTTTTGAATACGTTGGTGGTGTTGTCATGGTAAGTTTTTATGTTCAAGAATATTCATCTTAAATATATACTTCTTTTCAAATGGAAGGAAAATGTGTTTTTCCTTTTATTATAGTTGAAGTTATTTAATTATTAAAATGTGAAAGTTAAAACATAAAATATTTCTAAATATTGGAATAATAAGAGAGTGTGTTTGAATTGGCCCTGAGAGAAGGTATAAGGACTGTTACTTAAATATTTTCTGTATTCTGTTTCTAATGGGCACAAAAGGTCCTTTTGAATAGTAGAACAATAATAGTCGTTACCATTTATTGAATCCTATTTACTGTGTTTCAGGATATGTTTGATGTTTTACACTTACTAATTTAATCTTTTACACTTCTTTGAGATACTTATTAGTAATCCAATATACACATGAGGAAATGAATTGAGAAAGCTTAAGTAACTTACTTGTTCCAGATCCCACAGTTAGTAAGTAACTTGAAATTTCAACACATATTTGTTCAGTTTTCAGAATTCCAGCTCATTACCACCATGTTTAACTGTAATTAAAACAAATTAATAATCTGTAATTAAGACAGATTATTCTGCCTAATATCTATATTAAGATGTTAAAGTTGTTCCCTATCCCCAACTAATACTTGTTCTTAATATTGTAGTGGGAAACTATGAACTGTGGTTGTTGATTCAAACCTTTTGTCATGTAAAGAGCAAATTGATTGACCAGCTAGTCAGTTTTTTTTAATTGTTGTTATTACAGTTGTTTTTGTTTTTTTAGATTAGGTTTAGTTTATCAGATTGACTTCCAGTTAAGATGGAGTAATGGAAATATATATGTTTAACTCAAATTTTCCTTTTTTTTTTTTTTTTTTTGAGACAGGGTCTTGTTCTGTTGCCTGGGCTGGAGTGCAATCGAGTGATCTCAGTTCACTGCAGCCTCCGCCTCCTAGGCTCAAAACAGTTCTCATGCCTCAGCCTCCCAAGTAACTGGGACTACAGGGGTGCAACACCACGCCTGGCTAATTGTTGTATTTTTAGTACAGATGGCGTTTCACCATGTTGTCCAGGCTGGGCACGAACTCCTGGCATCAAGTGATCTGCCCACCTTGGCCTCCCAAAGTTCTGGTTTTATAGGTATGAGCCACTGTACCTGGCTGAAACTTGCCACCTTGATTTTTTGTAAGTTAGATTGGTACTTACAAAGGTAGCAAACAAACTGTAATCATATTTCTTCTTATTTCTGCCTGAGTAGGAACTTTTGAGTAAAAAGTTTTATTTACAAGTAGAGTAAATGGAGACTGTCGTATTTAGATTTTTAAGGTGGCAATGATAATTTTTTCTGATTCTGAGGTAGAGGTTGAGTATCCCTTATGAGAAATACTTGGGACCAGAAGTGTTATGGATTTTAGATTTTTTTGAATTTTGGAATATTTACATATATATAATGAGATATTTTGGGGATGGGACCCAAGTCTGAACACAAAATTCATTTGTATTTCATATGTACCTTGTATGCATAGCCTGAAGGTAATGTTATATGCTATTTTAAAGAATTTTGTACATGAAACAAAAATTTTGACTGCATGTTGGCTATGATGCATCCCATGGGGTCGGGTGTGGAATTTACCGTTTGTGATAAAATGTAGACTCTCAGAACATTTCAGATTTTAGAGCATTTAAAATTTCAGACTTTTTATTAGGGATACTCAACCTGTATATATCAAGATTATGGTTTTGAGACATACAAATAGGAAAACCTTTGATTGCTTTATTGTAAAGATGGGGTCTCTTTAGGTTGCCAGGTTTGGTCTTGAACTCCTGTCCTCAAGTCTTTCTTCCAAAGTTTTGGAATTACAGGTGTGAGCCACCATGCCTAGCCCTGAAAATCTTTAAAGTCCATGTCTTCATACTAGTATTTTTCAGTAGAAAATTTAAGTTGTAGCCCCATGAAATGAGTAAGCTATTCTCTTGGAAGAGGAAGATGAGCATAAGCTCATTGAGAATAGTTTAATACCATTTAGTAAATCATCATCATGTTCACTGGATTGTATCTGATAGTAATAAGAAAATGAATCATTCTCCCATTCATTCAACCAATATGTATGGTTTATCAATTTTGTACCAAACATTGTTCTTGGCTTTGGTTATATAGCTGGGAACATGAGAGAGATCTCTGCCCTCATAGAACTGACATTCTATAGGGTGGCCTAAATTTGGAAACATAGGTAGTTTGTTTTATTCAGGCATTATAATGTGAAATCAATAATCCATTTATAACATATTTTTCTATATTTTCAGACTTAGTGGCTACTCTAGAGTTGAACTTATTTGAGAACTGCCAGATTTTCATGAATCATCCCCCAAGCTTTAAGAACATTTGCTTGATTTTCTTTCTTTTAAGCCTGCTCAAATGATTTATGTTAAATTTAAAAGAGATTTTGAATTTAGATTACAAATTACCTCTCTTTTCAGTGTTCTGGACCATCAATGGAGCCTACAATTCAAAATTCAGATATTGTCTTTGCAGAAAATCTTAGTCGACATTTTTATGGTATCCAAAGGTAAATTTCTGTCATGGATATATTAAATTTACAGTGAAAATATATATACACATTATGTCTTTTCTGCAATTCCTTAACTTCATCTTTAAAAACTGTTCCATAAATAAACATGTTAATAACCAGCTAGTTAAAATTTTGAGTCAAATATTTTCTTTCAGTTTGAGAAATTTTAATAGTTTCTCAAACATATGCAGTCTCTTGGGTCATTGTATCTCTTGCGTCATTGTGAAAAATAATTAACAGTCCCTTACAATATACATGTAAGCTTAACTTTTTTTTATTGGGTTTTAGAATGTTTTCAGTTAAGAACTAGGAACTTAGGTATTACATTACAGATCCAAATCAATGTTTTTGTTCTTTAATTTTAAAAATAATCCTGTAGTTCTATTGATTGCTATCTTATTCTCTATGTATAGCCTATGATGACTGTTTGATGGTTTTTATTTTTTTAAATTTTCTGATACACATTTTTTGAGATGAGGTCTTGCTCTGGCTCCCAGGCTGGAGTGCAGTGACACGATCTCAGGTCCCTGCAGCCTCAACCTCCTGGGCTCCAGTGATCCTTCCCCTCAGTCTCCCAAGTAGCTGTGACTACAGGTATATACACCACGCCCAGATAATTTTTGTAGTTTTTGTAGAGACTGGGTTTCGCCATGTTGCCCAGGCTGGTCTCAAACTCCTGAGCTCAAGCAATCCGCTCACCTCAGCCTGCCAAAGTGTTGAGATTACAGGTGTGAGCCACCATGCCCAGCCCATTTGATGATTTTTAGATTACATCATTGTATATAGCTGAGAACCAGGAATTGTATATATTATGAGTCTCCTGATTAATTATATTAACTTGAATAACTCCTGGGCAAATATTGTTTGTCACTAAACCTTTTAAAGTCCTATTTCACAGGAGGCTGAGGCAGGAGAATTGCTTGAACCTGGGAGATGGAGGTTGCAGTGAGCCGAGATCGTGCCACTGCACTCCAGCCTGGGTGACAGAGCAAGACTCCTTCCCCCAAAAAAATAATTAAAAAATCCTATTTCAAATGGTGGTTCCAATCCTTGTGATACCCTTTATTCCAGTTAACTCTATGAGAATGATCTCTTCCAAATGAATGTCAAGTATTAATAATTTAATATATTTTCTAAAGAGCACCTCTCTGATATCCTAAAATTTTGAGTCCATTTGTTTTTTATAATTCTGAAAAAATTCTATGCCTGCTTTCATTTCAGTAAACTACAAATTTGATTCCCTTGAGCTAGTATTTAGTTTATGGCATAATAAGTAGGTTTAGGCACTTCTCTTTCACTGTTCACCTTTGCTATAACCTATTGCACAGTACTGAAAATTGTTAAGAATACATTTCTTCACATTTATTGATCTTTCACCAGCCTTAGATTCTGCAGATAAACTCTCTTGGTCAAGCTGTATAGTTTGGCATGCTCCCTAGGTGATTCTTCTTCAAATCTTTTACCCATAACAACTTCTATATACTTAATTGTAGATATAGGAGTTATAAAATAAAACTTATATAATAGATTGTGTTGTTGCTCCCTTTTCTTTTTAACTTATATCAAATTATCCTTATATAGCCTTTGAATTAACTGGAGACCTAGCCTCATGATGTAGCATGAAAACAAGCGTCTGTGTTCCATGCCAGTGACATAATTTTATTCACAATAATCCTTGGGCATCCTGAATGAGGAGCTGAACTTGTTGGCTGAATAGTTTTTGAATACACAGCTTGATATTTTTTAAACAATTACTCGTTGCATTCAGATAAGTGAAACAAATAACTACATTCAGTAAATGAGTTCATATTCTTTGAAGATCTTATTTTGTACTCTCTTCATCCAGGTTACAGGACAGCTCAAAATCTGGCATTTATGAGATATACCAAAATAACTTTTAGAGCCAAGGTAGCCAGCTGGTAACTTTTACTTAAAAAATATTACCGTCCTGAGTATTCTCTTTCTTTTACCCGCAGCACAGAACTCAAGATTTCAGGGGAATATTTGACTCCTGGTAAGGGGTCCTGTTGTTGGCTGCCTGTTTCTAAATGTAAAATAACCTTCCATTTAGGCAAGAGTAAAAGTTTGCATATCTAGTATCTAGAGCACATGGATGTCTCTTCAGTCAGCTGCAGAGAACACTCAACCTTGAGACAGTCAAATTTTTACTACTGCTTATTCTTTCAATAAATAGTAGTGAGCACCTAATTTATAAGATGTACTGTACATTATAGAGAATATTAAGATTAATGAGATATTGACACTAGTTTTCAAAAGCTTACTGTGTAGTAGAATAAGTTGTTTATAAATATGAGAAAATTTTAATAAGCTTCCTTTTAAAACTATTTGAAGGAGTTAAGAATCCAAGGGATATGTATTTTGATCTAAATGCTATGCATATATCTAGTTAGACTACCAGAAATAAAGTTTATGTTAATACTACTTTCTACAAAAACAGCACGACTGAATTATGATTTCTATGTTGCCATTCGAGTGCAAAGTTTGTTTTAAGGGTCATATTGATTATTTGATCAAAGAACTTAAGCTTCATTAAACACCCATGGAAAAACGTCTCTTCCTCCAAAGCTACCCAAAATCAACTTTGATGGTGTGTTACAATTTTTGCAAATTTGTTCATCTGAACAGATCCACTGACATGGTTCTAGTTGTTTAGAAAGAAAATACCGTGTTCTATTTTCAAAAGAAGGCAACATCCAAATTATAGAATGTAATGATTTGCTACCTTTCAACTCTTACCAAGAATAGCCTCAAGAGATCATCATTGTAAATACTATTTCTGCACTTTCTGTAAAATTTCCGATAATGGTATCTTTCATTCTGTTATATAAGAATGTTTCTTGTGAATTTCTCTTTGATTTAGTTTTTAGGGAAAATTTTGTCTTACCTCCCAAACTGTTATTTTATTAATTAATGATTTCCATTAACTGGTCTTACTTTCTTCTGACTTGGCTCCCAAAGAGTTTAGAACCCATTTTAATGCTTCTATAGAGCAGTTACTAGGTTTCTGATTTCATCATCATTTTCCTTTTATTCTTATGACTTTTAATACTATTTTGACATATGCTTATTTTATTATAAGTAACATTAAACTATTTCTGGAACTAGGTACAATTAATAAGTAAATATGTTAAATCCTTTTAAATGTGTGTTAGTCAACAGAATTCACATATTGCTCGTTTTATGCAGAAAGAGCATTGTGTTCTGTTTGACTGTGGTCATTAGTCCTAGGTTCTGTCTTCTTCCTTTCCACTCTTTAGGATCTTTCTTATTTTTTATTACCAAATAGATTGTCAGTTCTTCTTATCATAAATCATGTCTTCTGTATGCAATCAGACCCTTATTGGTTTTATATGTTTGATGTCTCATTTTATTTTTCAGAGTGTATATTTGGGCAACTTTTAGCATTTTATTTTGTTGTATCTTTTGATTTTTGTTCTCAAATATAAGTTCTTTTGATACAGGTTATAGGACTTATATGCTATCATTCCTCAATTATTTGAGTTCTAGGGAAACATGGATGATGTTTTTACCTTTTTAGTGTACCCTAAAGTCAATCAGTGCTACTGCCTGGACAGCAATATTTGTTTACTTAATTTGTTAGTATTTATATGGAATTGTGTGGAGGGTTTTTTGTTTGTTTGTTTGTTTTGGTTCATTTGGGGTTTTTCTTGGTGTGTGTTTGTTTGTTTTTTTGAGACATGGTCTCAGTCTGTTGCCCATGGTGGCACAATCAGAGCTTACCGTAGCCATGAACTCCTGGTTTCAAGCAATCCCCTTGCCGTAGCCTCCCAAAGTGCTGAGATTATAGTTGTGAGCCACTGTACCTGGCCTATATAGAATTGCTTTCCCACAATTTTGGTTCTAAGCATTTGGACACAGGAGTAAAGCATAGTGGATACAATGCAAAAAGATAATTCTTGTGGAATTATCTGAAAGTTTAGAATCTTCTGAAATTATCAGAAATTTTAGATAGCCTTTTCATCACTCTTATTGTTGGATTCTCACCCAAAGTATTCAGTCGCAAAGGTTCTCAAAACCAGTAAATGTATGGAAGAGTCAGTATATGAGAGGATAAAGGTTATGGCTTTAAGTTGCCTTATAAAAGTATTAAAGCAGTGCCATGCATGTGTTTATGCTTAATAAATAATACAGACATTTCTTTGACTTTTCCCCCTCAGAGGTGACATTGTGATTGCAAAAAGCCCAAGTGATCCAAAATCAAATATTTGTAAAAGAGTAATTGGTTTGGAAGGAGACAAAATCCTCACCACTAGTCCATCAGATTTCTTTAAAAGCCATAGTTATGTAAGTAACATTTCAATTATGTTATTTTTTGGTGTCATAATTGATTAACATTAACTGAATGCTGACAAAAGAAAATAATGTTTATTCATATTTTGAATGTAAGAAAAAACGCATCCAGTAGAATTTAAATATATTTATATCAAGAACAATTCAGCCATTATATTTTATATATTTTAGTTACTTTTAAAATCTACATAAACATCGTAATAATTGTTACAGGCAAAATTTACCAGTGGATGCTAAAATTATTGGAAAAAAGTTTGAGAAGAAATAGAACTTTGCATAATCTTAAAGTATCTCTCCCAAGATATTTATTACAAAGGGAAAAAACCTTAGAGGTGAAACCTGTCAGGCACCACTTTAACTGAGTTATCTTCATCATCATAACATGATATATCAACATAATGTAGCCTCTGATTGAAGCATCAAGAAGGGCACTTGCAGGAAAAAAAAGTTACAACCTCAGTCTACTCATGAGAAAACATAAGACAATTCCAAATTGAGGGTCATTCTACAATATAACTGACCAATACTCTTCAAAAATGTCAAGGTCATAAAAAACACGGAAAGATTGAGGCCCTGTCATATATTGGAGCAGACAAAGGAGACATGATAACTAAATGCATTTGGGATCCTGGCTTAGAAAGATTTTCCACTATTAGTGGGAAGTCTGACAAAATCAAATAAACCCTATGCTTTATTTTTTTTAACATCCTATTTAAATTTTGATAATCAAAATTGTGTATATTGAAATTGTATACAACCACTTTGCTTGTACAGCTAGAAAAAGTGCAAGAATAGTAAAATGGAAGAATGAAGAGTAGATACAATGTGTTAGCTCATTTCACCAATCACATGGCTTCTGTAACAGAGCTTAGGGGAAGAGATGGCCTTTTGTTTACTCAGCATATACTCTTCTTACTTTAATAATTATAGCTTACTTTTCTACTTTACTGTACATCTTCTGTGTCACTATCAAATTATTGATGCGGCTGTTAACTAACATTATCTCTGTATTCATCCTCAATGTAAACAGACAACTGAATAATGACATTGTCATCATAAATTTATTTTGAACCATAATAGCCTCTGATTGCCCTATAAGTAAGTTTGATCAATAGACTGTTAAATAATCAATCTTATTTATTTACCATTTGTAATAGACTATGGTTCAGCTGTACAAGTGCTTTTGATGTTTATTACTACAATGCTAAATACCTTATGGTGATAACAGTGTTAAAGATGATAGTGTGCTGTCAGGTAACATATTTTTCTACTATTGCTTTCATCATGGACACTGTATCCTCTTCTCCTTAAAAAATGTTAGATTTTCCATGTAATTTCACCTTCATATGACTATTAGCATTTCCTGAGATATTCTAGTCACTTCTGAATTGCTTTAGCATCATGTGTGTACTTGAAACCAGAAATGATATCAACAGACAGAACAACAGAGCAAATAAATACCGTATCGTTGTTGTCGATTTCTTTTTAAGAGTTATTAGAGGAGGATGTCAGTACAAAAGGATTCAGATGAAGTCTCTGCTAAGTAATCAGAGAAGATAACCAGCACTGTAAGATGTAAATTTTTTAAATGTTCTATTCAAGGAAAATATTCATTGAGTTTTGTTTTTGTTTTTAATTGACACAAAATAATTGTACATTATTTATGGGGTATAGTGTGATGTTTCAATACTAATATACATTGTATAAAAATGAAATTAGTATATTTAGCATATCTATCACCTCGTGCATAACATGCAGGTTTGTTACATATGTATACTTGTGCCATGTTGGCGTGCTGCACCCATCAACTCGTCAGCACCCATCAGCTTGTCATTTACATCAGGTATAACTCCCAATGCAATCCCTCCCTCCTCCCTCCTCCCCATCATAGGCCCCAGTATATGATGTTCCCCTTCCCGAGTCCAAGTGATCTCATTGTTCAGTTCCCACATATGAGTGAGAACATGCGGTGTTTGGTTTTCTGTTCTTGCGATAGTTTGCTGAGAATGATGGTTTCCAG